CTCGGCTGTAGATTCTCCAATCATCTCTGAATTGGTGCTGACACGGTCCTTCCTTCTGGAGGGGGGCTACGTCTGTTCCCCATGGTCCCTGTGTGTGTTGTAGAGTAGTCACCGCTCCAAGCTCCGCCCCCGGGATGGACTACAATCTCATGTTTAGTTTACTCATTTTGTATTGAGATTGTAGTCCATACCGGGGGGGGGGAGCTTGGAGCCGTGACTACTTTACAATACACACAGGGACCATGGGGAACACAAGTAGCCCCCCTCCAGAAGGAAGGACGGTGTCAGAGATGATTGGAGGATCTGCAGCCGAGTGATTCACAAATAAGATACATTGTTGTTCAGAGTTCAGGTACTTAAATGTAATTTTTAAGATCAAACTCCGGAGTTGGGTGTCACTCTCATGAGATCCCGTGTTCCACGTCTCACGCAACATTCAGCATTTTTCCACGTCACGGTCTGTAGATATTTGCACCTCGAGCTGGAAGCATTTCTCCATCCTAATGTCTGGCTGGTGATCTATCACCCCTAATAGGCCCGTCCACCCGACAGCTCGATATGTGCATTCCGACTGCCGGAAAACCGCCGCCCACCGCAGCACTTAAACAGCAAAAGGCTAAATGGGCCGTCTAATGAACAGCAGAGGCAGGAAGCAATTCATACCGGAGTCCTCAAAATCCACAACGTTCTATCACAAGCAGCCTGGTGAGAAATGGGAAGCCAGCGGCCTATTTAACAAAAGCGGCGGAAGAAGCAGTGATGATGTACAAAGCGGAGGAATCGAATATCAGCAATCAGGACAGAGAAAGCTGATTGGTCGGTGCAGGTTATGACTATGTACGCATAGATACATAGGAGTAACCTGCCTTAAACTTAGAGGTAAACCCCAAAATGAATGACGTGTAGTTTGCTAAAGCTCCGTGTAGTATAAATATGTTTAATATGTTATTTAAAAAAAAATCCCTTTTTTTAAAATCTCAGTGTTGCTGATCTCCCGAAGCCTCTTTGCAGCCACTCCCTGCCACATGCACTCCACCGATGGCTACATGGCATTTCTCAGGGCGGGTTTCCTGCTGGTGACAACAGTGGACCATGTTGATGTAATGTGCGTTGAAATTGACAGTTGTAGTCTCCACCGTTAGCCCGTGTGACAACACAGGAGCACAATTGGGAGACAGGGACACAGCGTTGTCACCCGATTACAGGAAGTGCCTGAACTAAGAGATTCATGGCATGGTCACCAGGGATAAAATTAAACCGGCCACATAACCTGCAGCTTTCATTCAAATAAAGCATAGCTAGGAGCTCTGTGCTCCCCTTCAGCCTCTTCTCTTCCTCCCTGGAGGCCACTCATAAGATTCTTCTTTTTTTAACTTACCTTTTCCAAAGTCTACCGATACCGCAAGGTGCCCGAGATAGGCCGCCCTCAAACCAGTACCAGTATACTATGAAGGCACCATGGTTATGGCCCCCTGCACTCACAGTATGTCCTCAACCCGTCTTCAGAACAGTCACATGATACCACAGGGTCCTCTGTGCTGGGATAGGCCGTGCTCATAGATTCAGAGAGTGGCGCTGATATCAACAGAACCACTCTCTGAACCGGAGCCAGAACACTATGAAAGCACCGCCCCCTGCACTCTGCACTCACAGTATGTCCTCAGCCTTTCAAATCGAGTCATTCAACACATAAGTCTGAGGCCATCTTGTGGCGGAGTAGAGGTATTGCGGGGTCAGCATTGGAGTGAATGCGAGTATTGTGCCCTGATCTGCTTTTTTATTTTCCTTAAACAGACCTAAAAAGAGATTGTTTCAAGTACAAAAACTTTCACCTTCCTCGGACCCCGGAGTCCAAGCTCTGTGCAAGCTCCGCGGCGGATGGTGTCAGAGCTTACACATGGTAGACACCTTTCTAATCCTCACATGACAGTGTCCAGGCCTGGTGATTGGCCGCTCAGGCCAGGGCACTGCATCCTGCGAGGAGGTCATATGGGGCCCTATAACCTAGACAGGCTGGGGTCTGTTCAATGTGGGTTACTTGGGGTCATTGGTGCCCAAAATTGGGGTTTCTAAAAAAAACAACCAGGCCAGATTTATACAATGAAAACTAGCACTGGGTAGACAT